CAGCAGGAAACAATGCAGGTAGGGGTGAATTCATCTCCTCTCCAGAGGCTTCTAATTCGTATTCTGCATGGCAGAGTAATGCAGCAAGAGCCCTTCCCCATCACCCTGCCTATACGATGGGGAGGAAACATCCCTTCAACCATCAGCTGTCGCTCAATCTTGAGGCAATGGTGTTTGGCCCTCTGCCCTGATGATTGGAAGAAATCAGCCCACAGGCCAGAAGTTACACCCTGCTACACTAAGGATACATTAAAAAGTAGTAAATAGAATTTTCTTTTTTTTTTCATAGATTAAACAATTAAAAATAAGTTATAAACAAAATCTCCTTAATTGTTTACCTGAGAAGATCTCTCTGAATGATCAAACAGCGAAGATAGTCAGCCATTTTCTTCTGCATTAGTGCTAATCGTAACCAGGCCCGGGCACGGCCCAGTGGTGTTCTGGAAAAAAGGGCATGAGACAAACAGTCCCAAATCAACAATATATCGATTAATTCACCGTCTTAAACATATGTCTAGTGCTAGAGCTCTTGGTATTTCTGAAAGGGTACTTTAAACTATTAGTTGAGCAATGCAGTCTAGGAAGCCATAATGTTTAGGCTTTGACTCCAAGCTTTGGGATTACACCAGAAAAATTTTCATCAGCTCAGCTCGGCTTGGGAGAAGATGCTGGAAAGAAAACAACAGAGGAAGCGTAAGAGTAACATTAACTGTTTTGCTCAGAGAGTGAAAACATGCCACTTTCTACACACTGTTGTATTACAATGTGCTTTGTTCTCACGCAGTACATGGCTAGCAGTGCTGAGAGGATTTTTAAGAGTGGTGTTGTTTTTCATTAAGTACCTTCTCCTTAACCAGACAGTGCTGTAATAATAATCTTAGAAGTCCTATTTCTAGCTGAAGTAAAATGTCTGCAACAGTTCAGATTCCCTTCTGCAACTTCCTTATAGTTTTCAGAGGAATTGTGAGAAAAGTAATCAAATGTCCATTACAATCCATCATGCAAGCTTGCCTTCCTAATCATATTCTCTGGATCTACATGTGTACTGAATTTTAGCTTTAATTCATAGTTCTTTACAAATTCAAGGTATCTCAGACAATTCAAAAGAGATGAAAATGTATGTAACTGGCAAACAATATCCAACAAATTATACCTGCACCTTTAGATCCTTCTCTTCTAGTGCTTACATGCTTCAAAGTGGTAAGCATGTAAATGAAACAACAACAAAAAACAAACAACAAAACCCAAACACATGCTATATGAGGATAGGAAGAGTATAATACTTTGCAAAAGGTGTTATTTCATTTGTCCTGATAAAAGTGTAAATAATAATTTATATACTTATGTGCTTTAGATAAGGTCTAAGTTATAAATTATAACCCTTATACTGCCATATACCAATGACAATGTAGCCAAACCCTTTTGGAATTCAACGTATAAAGCTAAATACAAAAGCAAAGTGCAGTGGAATGGGAGAAGATTGTAGTTCACAGCATAAATTTAGATTTGAGAAGCACCCTACACACCAGAATCTGAAAAGCTGCCTAATACTTTCCTCTTCCATGTGTTACCTTTTGTTTTTATACAGCCTTTACTGACTAGACTCACTAGCTTGCTGCAGTAACAGACTACAGGCTGTTCGATACATAACCTGTTCCTTTTTCCACTGTTTTTGTTGACTATTCAGAAAACTTCTCCCAGGAACATCAGGAAAGAACATAAAAATACTACTTTTTTTAGCTGTCTTGAGCAGAACATGAAAAGCTAGTAAGATTAATCTGTGCTCTCCCTCAATATCATCTCAAAATGCTTGTTCAAAAGCTTGATTAATGCCAAATGAAATCATGAGACATATGTAGATTCTCAATCAGGTCCTTTATTTTCTTGCTGTATTTTACCAATGCTACTTACTTAAGGCCAGGCAAGTCTCTGACACTTGCTGCTATTTCCTCAGCTTCTGGATATAATTTCTCCACAAGTTCCAGAGGACCCCAGATGGTTTTATTGTAACTTAGAAAGGATTTTCTTACTAGGAAAAGAAAAATTAGGTAACTGAATTAATTTAAATTACTGGAGTAGCTTCCTTCACAATAGCTGGTGTGACAGAAGGGTGAATTGCTGAGCCTAGACTTCCACATAACTGATAACTGTGATGCTGGTCAGTTCACCTGTATTCAAAGCCATTTTCTGAATTACATCCCTGTGAACATAAAATTGCTGTGCTAGAACAAAATAGTATAAAAATGATGACTAGCTAAAAATACAAGCTACATGCATACATACACTTAGTTGTGGAAATCCCTAGACCACTTGCAACAAATAGTATACAAAAGAGAAACTGGTAAATATGGAAATGTATGTTGTGAAGTATTACTAATGACACAATTATAAAAGGTAACCATTTACATATTTTCTCCACTTCTTAAAGCAGCATAACACACTTTGATTTTATCTCATTCACGAAAGAAAAGAAGAAAAATGGCACGGCTGGGATGACAAATACGCAGCTAGAGCAATTACCACACCTTTAAGACCATGCTTCAGGCAGTGCTCCATGACAACAAAGAACTGCTGCAAAGGTGGGTAGTCAGAATCCAGAGTTCGGCCAAAGCTCAAAGCTGATTCAATGAGTCCTTTGATACTCAATTTAGCCATGTTCAGTAAATTTGCTCTTTCTACAGCTGTAGGATCCTTTACAGCTAAGACAATAAAGGGAAAAAAAAATGTTAGGGTTCAAATTTCAGAAGAGACATAAAGTAATAAAATGGTTCATGGCCACCTTGTTCAAAGAAAAACTTACCTTAATGTAGATAAACTCAAATAAATATTTACTAAGTGCTATAAATCACCATGTTACAGAAAAGCATCCACTCCAACAAACACCCTTACAGATCTTTCGTAGTTTCAAGAGGTGAATGAAAAAACAAGGCCAGAAATGTCAGTTCTCAGATACATCTCAGTACAAATCAGAAGCAGTCAGTAACTGCAAATTGAAACAGGCATCAATGTTCCACTCAAAAGCTCTGCTGCATTACAGCAATCAGTGCCCTTATCACAATATCAAAGCAGTATTCCTATTTAGTGTCTTATAGTCTACCTACAGAAACAGGCGTCATACTTCTTTTATATAATCACTTTTCACTCTAGTCTTAATTTCACAGTGACACGAACACACGTTTTCCTTCTGAGGCTGTACATAGTCTCAGCCAGTAAACCAGAAGCAGTTTCAGGAAAATATTACATATTACATGCTGAAATTTCAGTTTCTCATATAGCTACAAAATAATTTCTAAAAGTGAAAACTTAGGAACTAAAGGTTTTGCTTTAGCTTAAAAATTATTTTGATAACTTCACAAAATGTACGCTACAAAAATAGAATGTGGATTAAACCTACTCAGTAAAAACCCCATAGCTTTTAAAAATCAGAATGGACAAGGTTTCTCCTCTTAGAGCTCCTGCTACTGGAATCAGAGTGTTTGGTAGATTGTTAGTTTATTTTCATTTAGAATGAAGCAATTCAAACATTCAGGTCACCCTCTAGTTTGCCAAACTGAAACAGAAACAAAGCAACCCTCTGTTTATTCACCATGATCAAAGTAACCTGGAAAGAAGCAAAAAAAGGTTGATGATTCACTGTTTTCTGCTATGTACAATTAAATCTAACAAATGAAGTAAAAATCAAACAAACAACACAAAATCTTTAAGACATTAAGATACACATATACCTATACATTTGTGTCTGAGAAAAAACGTGAGCCTCTTCCACTGCAAATTTGAGTATTGATGTATGACCTTATCTCTGCACATCAGAGATCATAAAGACTAAAAAAACCCCTATAATACACAGATACTTTCTCAGTTCCTCAAACAGCAATGAAATTACTTGTCTCATTTGCCTACCACAGCTTTATGTAATTAGGTATTAGAATCTTAGAAAATACTTTCTGATTTTCTGTACTCTGGACTGCCTGAATTATCAAATTACCCTATTACCACAGAACATAACCATTCACGGTTTCCTAGGAAAAAAAATGATGACTGAGATAATGTACCCAAGATAACCTGATCGCTGCTCGGGTCGGGCTGGGTATT